AACTGTAAGTGCAGCCAAATATCTGGAAATGTTGAAAAACAAGGTTTGCAATACTATGCAAATACATCGATGTACCACATTCTAACAAGATGGTGCACCGAGCCATTCAGCAAAAACAGTTTAACGCTGGTTTGTCAAAAAAAAGATCAAGGTGCTGGAATGGCCTGGGAATTCACCAGACTAAAATCAAATAGAAAAGCGGCGAGTGAAACAACATACCCAATGTTAGATTTATTCTACTGGATTACGCGAATCCAAAGATTACCAAAGAACTTTGTCAAAAACTAGACAATTAAAATTGCGTTAGTAATATTTAAAAAAGCCATTAGGCTTTTTAATATACAAGATGTAAATACAATTTTGTTTTAACCCAATTTTAAGTTTTTCTTTGTTGATTTGCTATATGAAAAGGCATCTCACCCATTAGCTTTCTTGATCCGTATTCCCCTACGTCACGAATTTTAGTAATTTTGAGATCTATAATTAGAAATATTTGCGCCATTGCTATTCCTTAAAATTTGAATAACTTAGTATATTTTTAGTTTATGAAGTGCAATATCTAATTTTAATATAAACTAAAAATAAAAAGTTCAAATCAATTAATTACATTCACATTAGTTTTATCTACATCTGTACTTTTAATAATTTTAAGAGTAGAAAACGTTTTTGTAATTCAATTAAAATTCATTTTTATACTAGTATCAGAGGCGATTTTACGGGTTGGGGGTGGGGTGGTGGTGTATGGGAGTTCTACTACCACCCTCCCCTTCCTCCTCCAAAGAAGTTGGTTTTCAAGTTATTGCCGGTTTTTTGTCGAATTTTGTCGTCTAGTTGGGTATTTGACACAATTCTGTCGAATAAATTTAGTTTTGAGGAACTAGTCAGTACTTTTTAAGGATTCACCCCCCATCCTCCGCGCACCCTTCTCCCATATTTTATTCGTAGAGTTACCTCTGATTAGTATTTTCTTATTTTTTATACTAGTATCAGACTTTCTCCCTTATTTTATTCGTAGAATCACCTCTGAGTATTTTCTTATTTTGAGGTAATATAAGCTTTGCAAAATTATGCTTTGCATAAATTTACTCGATAACTAATGAAACTAATTCATAAAGTAAGATAATCAATTATGATGTAAAAATGATATGATGTAAAACAATTCTTCATTAATTTAAACAAAACAAGTTTTAAATAATAATAACGAAACGCTATAAAATCATATTAAATCAAATAATTGTTTGTTACGTAAAAAACTGTTTATTTTGAATGGAAAAATAGTATTAAAAACTATTTAGTTTGAAATAGTTTTACAAAATAATATTAAAAATTATTTAGTAAAGCTATTACAAAATAGCTTTACAAAAATAAAAATAACAAATTATGACATTTACATGAGATTTTGCAAATTGTAGATGTTATCTAATTAAAATATTTTTTTATATATAAATTTAATCAATAGAATTAGGATTAAATTAAAAAGAACCTGGTAACCAGATAAATATTTTTTTTTGTATTTGTCATTTTTATATATTTGATTAATCATTTAACGGAAATATAATGTAGTAGTCAACAAAATATCATACAGACGCTATAATATTTTAAAATTGCCTTAACTACACCGAGTGCTTTAAAAAATGAACGTATTATAAGTCAAACCGCTTAACTCCACTTTTTGCAAATTACTTAGTTTCGATTATTTCTAAATCGGCACTTAAGAACTCATTAAAAAATCATTTTTTATTTACCCATATTTTCGGTATTAAATACCAAAAATTAAAAATTAAAAAAAACAACGATTTTTAAATAAGTTCTTAGGTGCCAATTTAGATATTATCGAAACCAAAAGTACGAATAAAAAAATGATTTTTCAATGAGTTCTTAAGTGCCGATTTAGAAATTATCGAAACTAAGATATTTGCAAAAAGTGGAGTTAAGTTTGGCTTTAGACGTCTGTATATAAGTTTTCCATTTACTTAAATATTTATTTTGACAAGTTTCAATGCAGATTAAATAACAAATGTTTTGAATATATTTAAAATAACCAAGAAGGCGCAGGTTTTCAGTCGCTGCAGCAACTTATTAAACTAGATTAGGAACAAAACCTCTATCACTTTGAAATTAAGTCTCAGCTAAAAATATGTAATAGTAATCAATTGAGAGGATAAAAATGAGCCAGTGCAATAATCTTTTTTAGCCCTCCTCCTCCTTCCCCATTTTAGCATGATACTTGATATCGATAAAAAATCGTATTCATAGGCCCTAAATTCTTATGGATCCTTTCATAGAGCCTAAGGTAATAAGAGAATTTGTGCTTCAAAAAAAATATACATCAATGTGATATACGTTTTTGTTTAAGCACATGTGAACTTGTATTATATCACAGTAGTGTATTTTTTGTTAAAGCACATATGAACTTAAGATCACTGTGTCTTAACTAGTGTTAAGTGACAGTGTGTGACTGGTGCTCCATGAGTTATAGATAAATTAATTTTTAAGCACAATTTTTTATTTGAAGCAATTAAAAAAAAAGAAAGCAGAGTTATTTTATTTAGATTTTCAATATTTATTATAGTTAGAGTGACCATGTTTTAAAAAAAACTGGGAAACAAAAACAGAATTAATGTTTACAAAAATATGTTTACAATAAAAAATCTACCCTATCAACTTCGAAGCTTCAAAAACTGTTGCTACCCCCAAAGGCTCTAAGTACAAAGGTACTAACAGTGTTTTGTATAAAGCCACCTCGCTTAGGAAATTATTAGATAATGATTCCATGTCTTGTATCAGTCTAGTGTGTTTCAAAAAACTTATCAAAAAAATGGCAAGGAAATAATTGCTTTTGTAAAATTTGTGGCCACTAATTTTTTTTAATTTATAATTTTTTTTTAAATAAAAAATTTGTGTAATTTTTATAAAAATACAAACATTGTAATTTTAATTTTGTGCAGGCATATTTTTATTTTTATTTACATGCCTTTTTTTACTATATTTTTATTTAATAACGATATTTGTTTTGGTGTGTGCTGTCCATAAAGTTATATGTGTTGAATTTAATTAGTTTATGGAAACTAAACTATTTTAACTTATCAAAGTTAAATAAATTTTTAAAATAAAATAAAAAAAAAATAAAAAAAAATTAATAAAAAGGTAATAATCCGACAACGAGTGTTGTAATAATCCGACAAAGAGTGTATATTAATAGATACGTCCAATCAAATACGGACACAGGAGAGAAACAATAATTTTATATTTCATATAATGATAATAGATTGATACGAATCACATGCCTCAATAATATTTGTTGTTTAACCCAATTTGATTGAGCATAGTATTTTTTGAAATAACATATTCATAAAGTTCCTGGCAATTAAAACCATAAGTTGTTGGCATTTGTAGTATGTATTCTACGGTGGATCTATATTCTTCTTCTAATCGGTTTTGTTCATCCATCCCCTGTACACTCATTAGAAAGAAAATACGTTATAAGTTACAATTTTAATGAGGAAAAGAAAACATATATTGACATAAATTTAAGTTTCGCAATCTTTTTCAAAGTTATTACAATGTTTAAAAATTCAGTTCAGTTTTCGTACAAATGCATTTTTATCTTTTTACATTCCGTAATCTTTTCAATACTTAATTTTTAAACAATATTCACTTAATTAAAGTAAATCATTTAGTCTAACTCCTCAATCATCGAAATACTTACTGCTAGCAGATACTTCTTAAAGTAACTTCCAAAAAAATACTTTTTTTGGAAGTTACTTTAAGAAGAATCTGCTAGTTTCAATACTTAATTTTTAAACATCATTCACTTAATTAAAGTAAATCATTTAGTCTAACTCCTCAATCATCGAAATACTTACTGCTAGCAGATACTTCTTAAAGTAACTTCCAAAAGAATACAGTTATTTTTGAAACTTCCTAATTTCCTATTGAAACTTATTTTAAATTTTACTGTAAAGGTAAAAAGTTTTTAACAATAAGCAAAACTTTTGTAATTATATTTTTATTGCTAGTTACGAAAATGGGCCGAAGCTTATTATGAAGAAGAGCCGAAGTTTATAAAGTCAATTATATGATCTTGCTTTACTGAGCATAGAGCAAGAAATAACTTGACTTCAATAATGTAGTAAAAAATAAATAAATTTATAATTAAAAAGAACGAACTCAAAGAACGTAGAAATTGTGGAGAGTGGGATATAATTGAACAGTATAAGATCACACTCAACTTTATAGAAATAAAGTTCTTTGCGCCGCAAAGGCATTCGGCGTCGTTGGCAAATCTTTGCAGATATCGTCGTTGGTGAATCTTTGCAGACATAACCGTAAACTTGAGCTGTAATAATTAAAGCACTGCGTGGTGCGTTACAATCCGTGTCATAACAAGTTGAAACGAGTTTATACAAAGAACAGTCGACGAGACAGCAGTTAATATCGCCTATCGTAAATCATCTGCTGCACCCCTGCAGCAGGTATTGTCGGAATGGAAGAGTAATATACCTCTCTTCCTTGTCAAATTTTATTATCTCATTTTATTAATTAAAATAATAAAGAAGCACAATTCTTTAGTCGCATTTATTTACTTTGGCGTAATAATTTGAATTTAATAGTAATTGATAACTGAATAAAAAACTCAACAAATAAAGTTTTAAACTGATCAGTTTAATTTGTGTGCTTTTTTATTTTAATTTTGAAGTAGCTTTTTTAAAAAAATATCGGTGTTTTTAATTGGTGTCCTTTACCCTGAGTTCATCTCCGATCATCTTATATTTAGAAAACATTATAAATAATAACTTGTACACACAAACTTTTACTTTTTTCATTAAGTAGATGCAAAGCACCCGTCCTTAATATTACTCCCCATTTACACTACTCTGCTCTTTACCAGTTCATACAAAACGTCTTATTTGCAGACATTTAAAATTTATTTTTTCTTTAGTATTAGCAATTATTTATTACTGGTTTTACATCGTACAAATAGTGTAGACTATTTAATAATTAATACGGAACAGAACGGCTTCCGCGCAACAACAATTTTTTTTTACAAAATAAAAACAAATCAAGAGAATGGCGACTGAAAGTACATATCGCTGCATTGAGGAATTGGATGTCTTCACTGTCCCCCATTGCAGGATGAAACATTTGCTAAAAAGGCTAGTAGGAAAGGTTAGTTTTTTTTTTTTTTATAATGGTAAATTTTAAAATTGCTATTTTTTTTTCTTTGCTGCTACACAGTTGTTTTACTCAAGTAACAAAACGAAAGTTTTTCTATTCACAATCTACTGCTGCAAAGTAGTCTTAAAATTACTTTTGATTCTAAATTATAAACCACAATCCTTTAATCTTTATTTTTCATCACATTAGATAAAATACTATTTCTTTTTATGCGTTTTTATTTGTTTGGTTTTTTTTAATTAGGCACTAATTTTATTCATTTCTTCTTAAAAATTTGTTTTAACAACAAACAACATCAGCTTTGAAAGTTTCAGTAAATTATTTTTATTAATTAAGATTTTATATTGATAGATTTAACTATCTTTTGATCTTAAACTAAGTTTTATTAACTTAATATGACCATTAAGTTATTATGTGCTAGACTTCCTAACTATTAACTTTTAATTTTCATGGCTGGCTACCATAGTTTTATGGCTTGCCAGACAGTTACAGCAATTAAAAATTACTGATCCCTACCAAACCCTAGTTGATTTGGCGGTAAGTGATCTGGGTTAAAATTTGACCTGCTGGGGCTGGGTTTAATAAAAATAGCCAGGGCTGGGTTTGTGACTAATGTTGCATAAACATTTATACATCCTAAGTATATTTTTTTTTAATTCAAACATTATATTATACCTTATATATATATATATATATATATATATATATATATATATATATATATATATATATATATATATATATATATATATATATATATATATATATATATATATATATATATATATATTGTTCCGTTATTTAAAAAAGGAAATAAACTAGATCCAACAAATTATAGACCAGTTTCATTAACATCAATTGTTGGTAAAGTTATGGAGAGAATTATTAAAGATCATATGATGGTGTTCCTCATTGAAAACAATTTAATTTCTAAAGAGCAACATGGTTTTGTTAATAACAAAAGTTGTATAACAAACCTGTTAGAAACATTAGATTTAATCACACAAGCGTATGAAGAGGATATTTCTGTTGATGTTTTATTTTTGGATTTTAAAAAAGCATTTGATTCAGTCTCTCACACGAAATTACTGAAAAAATTATTCAGGCTAGGATTTGTATCATCTTTGTTAAATTGGTGTAAATCATTTTTGTCAGGCCGAACACAGAGGTTTGTAATAGGGGAATATATTTCAAGTTGGAAGATGGTTACTAGTGGAGTACCACAAGGTTCAGTACTCGGACCTCTTTTGTTTGTAATCTTCATTAATGACTTATGTAGAGGGATTATTAAAGACACTAAATTATATGCAGACGATACCAAAGTTATTTCAATCAATCATTGTTATGATGATAATAAAATATTACAAGAGGATATTAACAGGTTAGTTAAATGGTCTGAAGATTGGTTAATTACATTTAATGAATCAAAATGTAAAGTCATGTATATTGGCAAAAAGAATCCAAGATATGAATATAAATTGAACAACTCTGTTTTAACAGAAACAATGATAGAAAATGATCTTGGGATTTTCATTTCAAATAATCTAGAGTGGAAATATCATGTTAATTCAGCTATAGGTAAAGCAAACAGAAAATTAGGCATGATCAAAAACTCTTTTGAGTATTTGGATGAACTTTCATTAAAGTTACTATACAAATCGTTAGTACGTCCCCATTTGGAATATGGAGCAACAGTTTGGAGTCCATTTTGGAAAAAGGACATTGACAATCTTGAAATCGTGCAACACAGGGCTACGAGAATTGAATCTTTAAGGGGGAAGTCGTATGAAGAAAGATTAAAGATACTTGAATTGCCAACTTTGTTTGATAGAAGAAGAAGAGGTGATCTGATTCAAATGTATAAGATCTCAAAAGGAAAAGATATTGTTAATTTTCACCATCCTCCTTTAAATTTTGAGCTGGAGCGATCTAGTAGAAGTAACAATTGTAGAATACGCAGACAATTTACAAAATCAAGAATTCGTCACCATTTCTTTACAAACAGAGTTATAAATGATTGGAATTCTCTTCCACAATGGATATTAGATAAAGATAATTTGAACATTTTTAAAAACAGTATCGATAATTATTTCGGTTTCTGAACACTAATTTTTGTAATCGGCTGTCATAGTCTTAATTCTACGTAATTAAGACTCTACACACCTCAAGTGTGTACAGCACCTTTTCTATTCTATTCTATTCTATTCTATATATATATATATATATATATATATATATATATATATACATATATATATACATATTTATTTATATTATATATAATGTTATATAGATGATAAATATAAATATCGTGATGATGATGATCATCATCATCATTATCATCATTATCATCATCTTCATTTAGCTTTAGCCCCACTATTTTGTTTCTCTAATATAAAAAATCTTAAGCATTTTCATTTCTTAACTAAAGTTCACTCATACCATATGTAACGTACTCTCTTTAAGTTTTCTTCTACCATTTTCTCCTGAGGCTGCCACCTCTCTAAATAATGATACCCAAATGACTTTATTCTTCTATGAAAAATATTATCGATACAATGTTTTTTCTAATTTTTGTTTATGATTATTGCTTCTTTTCTTGTCTTGTTAGAGTCATATGACTCTTCCATCTGATCATCTTCTCTTTTGGCAAATAATTCACCATATAAATGCTAATGTTTATACAAATGTGTTAAAATATTGAAGCCTAACATTCCATTTCTAGTTCATGGGTCTGATTTTATTATTTCTCAGAATATGGCAGTGTTGTTTGCATAGAACTTTTCCTCTAATTTGACTCTTGAATCTAATGGTCAAGCTCTTCAAGCCATTACAGTTAAACCTTTTGTTAGAAATCAAGATTGCTCTGGCTTCCAATAATTACGTCAATTCTCAATTTTAATCTTTTAAGGCTTTTGGTTCAGACAACATTTCTATCATAGTCTTACAAAAGTGCTCCCCAGAATTTTCTTCAATCCATGCTAAACTATTGTTAAGTACTAAGTGAGTGGTTTCAATTTTTAAAAACTCTAGAAAACACTCTGACCTCTCCAACTATCCTACGGTTAATCTTTTTTCTAGTATTAGTTTCTTTATATGAAATTTTTAAGATTATTCAATTATTTCTTTTCTAATTGCAGTATTAAAGTCATTTTTGAAGGCCAACTTTATTTCCAGTACACTCTTCATTTCCTGTAACTTTAGAAGTACCACAAGATTCTATCTCTGCCCATGTATTGTTTCTTAAACAATACATTTAATCTGATCTCTCTTCTATAACAGTTTGGGGCATGCAGTGGCTTGTGAATTTTAACTCCAACAAAACTCAGTTATTTACTGCAAACAATTAGCGCAACATTGTTGACATTTCTATATTGGCGAATGAGAACCCTCTCACTCTCAGACAAGGCTCAATAGTCCAAGTTTGAGTCACAGTCACTATTATTGTAAGGTTGCATCTCTTTCTTTTTTCTATAAATACTATCATAGTCGCTGCTCAAACGAGCTATTATCTCTAGTTCAATCAACCAAAACTCGGACCATTTTAAAATAAAAAGTGCTTAGTAGTTTAATGTAAATTTAAGGTTGTAAAATTCTCTTTATTTTTTTATTTTTTAAAGACATCAAAACTACCGTCATATAATAAAGTTCCACAAAAGATCAAAATCAATTTTTTTTATTCATGCTTCAGTTGGTTTATTCTTTGTCCTAAAAGAAACTTAGTATTAAATAGGCTTGTAAAAAAATTATCCGATCAAACAATATTTATGTAAGTTTAATTAATTTTATCTGGAATTTGTTGAAATATTTTAGCAAATTTTGATACAATTAATGAAATTGCATAACAAAAAACTGTTTTTTTGTATTAAAAAAAAAAGTTTTGTATAAAAAAAAGGTTTCATATTTTATTATGTAAAATGGTTGGAGGTAAATGTCACTGGACTGTTTCTCAGAGAAATTTAGCTGTCGATCTAGTTAATCAGGGTAAAACCTATCGTCAGGTGCAGCAAAAGACTGGAATTCTTCATAATACAGTATCAGACATAATGAAGAAGTATAATTTGATCAGAACAACAGCCACAAAAGAAGGGCAGGGTTGCAAAAATAAGTCTTCTAAGAGTTTTGATAGAAACTTAATTATACAAGTTGAGAAAAATCGCTTCATTTTTGCACGAAACTGGCTGAGCAAACTGAAGAGAATTATGGAATCAAATTATGCTATCAGAAAATCAGAAATTGTATCCGAGACCAGGGATTTCAAGGACGACTTGTGCGTAAAAAACCATTTTGAATAAGAAACACAAAAGTTCAAAAACATGCCTTTAAGTTTCTGAAAAAAGATCCTGTGGAGCGACAAATCAAAATTCAATTTAAATTCATCTGATGGAACCCAAAATGTTTGGAGAAAAGCTGGAGAAGCCTACAAATTAAGCTTCGTGAAAAGAACTGTCAAGTATGGTGGCGGTAACGTGATGGTATGGGGTTCAATGGCTTGGAAGGGTGTTGGAAAACTCTGATTTATTGATACTATAACGGATCAGGTGTAACACTTATTAAAGCAAAAATTGAAATCATCTGCTCGAAAACTTCGGATAGGATCTGATTTTATATTTCAGCAAGATAACGATCCCAAGCATAGTGCCTCTAAAACCAAGGAGTGGTTTGCTCAAAATAATGTTGAGGTCTTGGAATGGCCTGCACAATCACCAGACCTTAATTCCATTGAACATTTGTGGGAAATTTTAGACCGAAAAATCGGAGATCATTTTCAAAAAAAGATAACCTTAAAGTAGCAATTAAAGAAGCCAGGGAAAAGATTCAACCAGAAGAAACAAAATCTTTAATTGAATTAATGCCTAGATGTCTAGAAGCTGTTATCCAAGCAAAGAGAGGCCCTACAAAGTATTAAAATAATTGTTTTGTTATTTAATAATTTATTATGAAACAAAAAATGTGTTTGATCGAATGTTTTTTTGGCAATAAAAAACAAC